AAGTTGGGCATAAATAATATTTCAAAACAGTTTTAACAAAGTTTTTTTAACGAAAAATAGATTAGAGAAATTATAGAAATAAATGATTATTATTCGAGTCTCCCAAACGTGTTTGTTATCGATTTAATGTATGTTCGTTATGAAACAGTACCATCGCTTTAATTACATGAATTTTGCTTCCGGCGAAGCTGAGTCATGTCAAAGGGGTCATCTATTCAGACTAATGGAACATAAAGCAAACAACACAATATAAGGCAGAATAAATGAAAGAACAAAGGATCCGATTACTTTTGCAACATTCTCCTCTGTTGGTATTAAGGCTTTACATCCTTTTCTTTGCATCTCTGGCACTTAATCGAAATAGGTCACTGTTAAATGTTTGTTTCAAAATATTTTTGCAAGAAGAAAGTCAGAAGGCAAAACAAATACCAGTTTCTGAATGATTTCGGGATGTTTACTTGAAATGTTTGTTCTTGTTAGATTTAGCCTATAGACGCTATTCTGACACTGACTTCTAACCATCTTTGAGGGATTGTGATAATCTTTGATCTTTTCCCTACTTCCCCCACTAAGTAATATACAAGTTTAGACGCCGTACTTCACATGAACCGAATCGAATGCAAATGAGAAAAATCCTTTGTTCTCCCCCTGTAGCATTCCATTCGGCTCATGTGAAGTACGGCGTCTGAACTGGGCCTAAGACAGTAATGAAGGGATTTTTTTTGCATACATGAATCCTGTAAAACGAAAAGTATGGATAACCATAATATTAATCACTGGATTAATAGGCCACGTTCGATATATCAATATTCTAAGATGGCTCCGTGGCTTTTAGGACAAAGTTGCAATTTTTTTTTATGCTTCTTTTATCTCTCAACTCTCCAAACAGAGGCACCTGGGAAAGGAAACACCACCAAGAGTATAAGGTTGTGTCCGCAATTAGTGCCGTTGTCACTTGAACGACTGGACACTTTTAATATAGAAATAAAAAACGCGCCCGAGTGCATTGTTGAGTTATATAAGCACGCGGGAATTTTTAAGAA